TTTCCAGAAGTAATATGGAATATACTGCTGCTGTTTGCAAGAAAGCAAAGAAAATAAAAAAATACAGGAAACGGTTTCATTTGCCAGTTTGCTAGCATGCATTTTTTTTTCTTCCAACAAAAAATAAACCACTTTATCAATACATCTTTATGAAGACAACTGACAAGCACAGGTGATACGCTAAAACTTTTTCTGTCATATCAAAACCCATCCATGTTGATACCAGCAAGCTACAACAAATAAAATTATGCATAATACGTTAGTAAATAAATTTTCTGAAGCCAAAAGAAACATCAGGTTAAAATGTTCCACTTCACAGACTACACTTGGGCATGTACCACCATTGAATGTAATCATGAGGGTACTGTAGCTCATACAAAAAGTTTCTGAAGTTCAAAGTTGAAATTTCAATCTACTAGTAAGAGCTTCTGATCACATTCCTATCATTTCTATCCATAGCCACACTGGCTACAGCTGATATAATTTGCAGTTAAAAATATAGGGAAACTATTGATAATTCACAACTCCAATTCTTAAATAAATCTGAAAAATAAACATGTTATGTTCTTAGTTGTAAAGCACATTAAATGCATTTTATTTTATTAAAGCAGGATAGCTTAAGTTTCCTTTTAAAAAGAGACACATTTCAAAATTTCCATACTCCCACCTATTCTTTGACATAGAACCACTTTTTCTCTTTTCATGTTTCAATGTTTCCAGAAACTTTACTTAAAATTACAAGTCACTTCCCACGGTCTGAGTTTCAGAAGCATAAAAGTTCTGCTATTTCAAGAAGACAATTAAAAAATGAGCACTTCAGATAGTGGATCAGAGTTCGTAGAAATTCAATAAAAATGTTTCAAATGCAACTTTCATAAGGATATATTATTTGCTCATTCACTAACATGCTTTTGCCTACATAAACTTATTACCTGCAAGCGATGCAATGTGTTAGAGACGTGTCGGGTTAAGTTGTTAGAAACTATGACTGTTATTAATTCTTGAAAGCAATGGACATTTAATTTGTCTCCAAGATATTTCCAAGGATTAAGGATTAATACTAATAATTGAACAAGGGGACCAAGGTAATACAGACTGCATTATGATCTCTTTTCAAATAATTCACACAAAAAAAGAGCAAATATTAACACACTCAAAAGAAGGTAAAGGCCAGGCCTATAGATTTCAGGCTGATGAATTACAGGATTGCAAATTACAAATTCCTTTTTGATAGCCTCATTAAATCCTTAATTGGTTTTTCTCTCTTAGTTATATTTACCATTATTTGTTGTGGCTTGCCGGCAGCCTGTGCAGACGGCAGTGGAATCGGACAGTGGGGGAGAAAGGGGATCAGTCCAGGAGTCTGGAGAGGACTTGGACAAGGGTCCTGCACCCGATGCTGCCTCCAGAGGTGCTGCCACCGGAGCCTTAGGAGTCTGGCAGTAGCGAGGCAGAGGATCCAGGGAGCCTATTCCCAGTGCGCATGTATGCAGAGCTGCTAGAAGGCGAGAGCAGCTGAAACAAAAAGGGCAACTTGGGAGTAAGGCTGGGAGGTGATTGCACCTCCCATAAGGTATAAAGGACAGGCAAAAATGATGAAACCCTTACAGGAAGCAAAGTTGTTCGTTCGGTTCAGATTCATTCTTGAAGCTCTTTGTACTTCAGTTGGTTTTTGTTCTAGTTTATTTGACACTTCTGTTATTAGCAGCACTTCCCAGGAAAGGTGGGTGCTTATCTTGAGAACTGTTTGAGATTCATTACTGGCTGGGAATGAAAATAATTCCCAGCATTGCAATAAACCAAGACTTGTTTTTAAAATAAGTGTGTGCATAATTATGGTCTTGGAAGCCTTGGTCAGAACAGTATTTTTAAAAAATGTCACTAGTAGATGGAAATTTCAACTTTGAATTTCAGAAATTTTCTGCACAAGGTACAATGCCCTCATGTTTACATTCAGTAATGGTACATACCCGAATTAAAATAAGCTTTTAAAATATCATGTTGGTACAAAGTATGCCCATTGTAGCTATACTGAAACAGTAGCAGCATTTACTAATATACAAACGTCAATTTGAGCACTACAATCTAAATACAAAGATCTGATCATGCAACTTGGTAGAGTTGCACTACTATCAAACTTAAAATTAACTACTTTTTCCAACTTCATTCCTTCCAAATATTTGTATTGCAACCCCTGGAATTCAGAATCAGAATCAGAATCTTGCAGCTTGAAATGTTTGGAAATGGACAGTTCAGCACATCTGAGAACAGTAGAGACTAAGGAAGTCTGGTCACTGGTGCTGTATAAAGCTTTGGTTTTTAATTAGAGGATGGTTGAGTAAAATAATCGCATCAAAGCACATTCATGAATCAATGCAGGGAACCACTTTAAAGCAGCAAACCAAACTAAATGACAGTGAAGCACTTTGTTAGCCTTGTAAAACACTCCAGATTTTAAAAGGTCACTTTGCTCCTTCTGAACTTCTGTACACAATGTTGACATTTTCTTTCCACGAATGGAAATATCAGAGATAGCGGTGTAGAGTGATGAACTCTCTGACACAGGCTTCAGAGCTAGTCTAAATTCTACCAAATTTTTAACCTCTTATTACCAGAGCTCTTTTGAACTGGCAAGGACTTCATTCCCCGTTAGCTCTGGGCTTCTTTAATGTGGTCAGTTTCAAAACTGAACTTTGTTCTCTCTCATGCTGATACATTAGACTTTGATACCAGTTCTGCCAACACAACTGATTCAACTCAATTCTTAGCATTCTTTTAAAAAAAATTTTTTTATTGATTTTTAAAGACAAACATAAACAAACAAAACACAAAACATAAAAACATAAAACATCTTTCTTGAAAGCAGCCTGATCCCGGATCATATCTCTTAGTGCAGACACAAATTCAAATTCATGCTCATTTTTATATTCCATTCCATATCTTATTACCACTCTCCATTTTGTATATAACTTCACCCCTCTTTTAACTTTCTTAATTTTATTTTATTTATTTCATCTCAATTTAGATCATCATACTTATATTCTTCGTCTGTCCTATTTCAGCTGTCTATTATCTTTTCTCATTGAACAAATTTTTTCCTGTAGTCACTGATTGGAGTATGACGCCTTTATATCTTTCCCCTAAAAATTATAACATTTAATATAATACATAACTTCCATTCGGATTCTGCTTGGTATATTCTAAAACTACACAATGTATTTTTTAAAAAGGAAAAGATTACAAATATATAACATAAATAAAACAACAATCCATACCAAATCAATTCTATCATTAATATTGATATTCATTTAAATCTTAAACATTTTACACATTGCTTTTCAAGTAAGTATTTCCCTCCCACTTCACTTATGTTTTATAAAACGTTGAGTAGTCAAAATGTTCCCATTCCTTCCTAATTCAATTCTCTCATTTATTTCATTTCATTTATTTTATTCACAAAAGTTTCACTAAATTACACTATTTTATTTCACTTTTTAATATGTTGTTTCAAATTTTCTAACATTATTTCTATTGCAAATATAACAATACAATCTTATGTACCTTTACAGAATCCTTCAGTTAAATTTTCACCCATTATCTCTGAATAAATCCTGTTTCTTTACATCTTGCTCCAAGCCTTCGTAACTTCTCTTCCCTTGCTTCTTCCCTTTCTTCTCTGCCCTTTTTAACCCCCTGTCTCTCCTCCTCCATTTCCCTCTTCTGAATTCCCCTTTTCTGTTGCTTTCCAACATTATATCCCCTTTTCATATTATTTTCCCCCTTTTTGGCTGTTTTTTTAGGTCTTAAATTCTCCATTCTCTTTCCCTCTTTTCCCTTTTTTTCCCCAGATAGAATTACTTGTTCATTAAAAATGGCTTCTTCTTTGTCCCAGTCTTGTTGTGCAGACTTTTCTTGCTGTTTCTAGTAAACACCAATCGCCATTTCTAAGAATTTAAAAATGGAACCAGAGGAATCCTTCCCTTCTTGTTCCTGTTCTTTAAGTTTTTTAAATTCAATTTTCAGTTCATCCAGTTCATTCCGTTCATCCAAAAGTGATGCCATTATGGAGTTTTGTTTTTTTCTTTTTTAAACAACCACCCAATTGTTTTCAGTAATTCAAATGTGATTTCCAAAAGTTCCAAAGTCACCAAACAATCCAAATACACAAAACTGTTTCTTTTAACACTTTCTTCTTTTTTCACTTTCCCTTCTTGGGGTTACTATTTAGTTGCAAAATTCCAGTTAAAATGTATCCTTTAGAAGTCTTGTTAAGATTTAACTTTTAAATTCTTTTGAGTTTCAAGCAGTCTCCTCCTTTGAAGTCCTGCCCTTATTCTTTTCCTCTCCCTTCCCACTTATAGCAAAAAAAAAAAAAAAGGACTTTTAAGCATTAGAAATCTTTATTGTCCCTTTGGCATTTAATTATATTTCCAGTTTAATTACCTGTTGGTACCAAAGCGGATTTTTCCGATTTCTTTATTCAGATCTTCTCATTGTCAGCGTGAGGGAGGAGAGTGAAGAAAAAAAAAAACTTTCCCTTTTCACTTTCGTTTGCTGCTTCCAGCTCTTCTTTGGGAGCGATGTATCTTGCAAAATTTAAATTCCAGGGTATCTTAGTTATTACTTTTTGTCCTGGTTAGCCAAAAACTTTCACTTCTTAACTTCCCCCTGCACTTTCTTTTCCGGCTGAGTGCTTCTTTGAGGCGGCCATTTCTGACCGCCACTCTACTGCCTTCGGGAAAGGGAGTTTAGCCAGCTGAGGAGGAGAGGCGCGGCTCCCCTCAAACCCTGCTGGGTCTCCCCTATCTTCACCACCTCTACGGGATGGCTTAGCCCCGAAGCCGGCTGGCTCGGGGCACTCCAGCGGCGAGCGCAGGCAGAAACCGCGCACGATCGTGGATTCCTGCCTGCCACCGAAGCGCTGCAAACCGGAACTGCCAATTCTTAGCATTCTGAATATGGATTCAAGCCTGGCCAGTCAGATTATGTATTATTGGCTGAAAGCTAATGCTTACATTCAGTGTCATTTGGACAAATTTAATTTTTTGTAAGAATTAAAAAGGGACCATGGTAATACAAACATCCAAATATTTATTGTTTTTTTTAAAAATAAAGGTTATAATCTTATTAAATTTTTTTCTGTGCTAGCCTCTTTCTTTCTCAAATGGCTACCTCTATAAAATTGTATCTCTCTGACTTAGCCTATATCTATTGCCTCTGCTAACTGTTGCCAAAGACACAAGAGACCCTCAATAGGGAGGAAAGGGTTCTTCTCAGAAAGGAGAAAGAAAGTCATCCTGATATATCTATTTTCCTATCACTCTGCAAATCCAGAGAATCAGAAAAGCATTTTTAGTGCTCTGGGCCAGGCTTCGCACTCAGAAAACAAGCATTTGTCATAAAATATTTTCCGAATGTCTTTATTTTAAAACTGGAGTAGGTTACTTGCTGCATTGGTTCAGTAAACACAAGTCTCCCTTTGCCTTCAAAGAGGGTCAAGAATATTATTTCAAAAATATTTTGTAACATCCAGTTGAAGCATGACAGGGTTAAAAAGTCTACTGAAGCTACTGTTTTCATCTCATTCCATAATAAACATCTGTGGGTATTTCAGTGCTTTGCTCTTCTAGCCCCATGGACTTTTTTTTTCTAATCTGAATCCCAATTGTTTAAGTAGTTCAAATCAATTTGGCTCCAAATATCAAACTGCAACACCAATTCAACCATACCCTTTGAATCTTCCATTCAAGCTGAACTGGATGATGTGTGCAGGCTTATTGCTCATATTCATTCTGTGGATTGTAGAGGTATTAAAGCTGAGAGGAAAATCCAGCATCTGCCAGGATCAGTATCTGATCTCTCAATTTGCAACAGGCTTTGAATACTTGCAAATACTGTAAAACACCCATAGATATGCAATCTTTTTTTATTGCCTTTACATCTAAATTCTAATCTGGTAGAGCAAGGGTGATGTTTTATGAACCTCTGAAAACCTTCTCTCAAAGAATTTTTCAAGGAATTGATCTGAATAATGAATTGTACTTTAAAACAATCTCAATTTAATTCATTCAGTATTTCCACGCATACAGATTAGAATGAGTCAGGCAAGTTCAACGTTTGTAATTTCATTTCCATCATTTGTTTCTTTTGGTCTTCCTTCACTGATCTGTAAAACATAATAAATTCTTGAGGTAAAATATGAACTTTAATATATCTTTTGCCAAATCCCCAAAACCATTCCAATTCCTCCCCCTTATTCACTGTTCATACTGATCACCCTACATGTTGGCAGCCACACTTTGATTTTCTTAATAAGAACTGCAATGGGTAAAGTGCAAAATCTGGGCAGAAATGGTAACACTGTGTCTCCTGGGAAAAATATAATTCATTTGTCATTAACTTTTGCTTCATAAAAAATACTACTGAAAAAACATACAAGAAATGTGATTTGGTTTAATATTCAGACTAGCTAGGAAAGAAAGAGGATAGAGACACTTTAGAATTATGCTTACCAGTAGATATTCTAACAGATGTACTAATATACTGGGTAATACTGAACATTTAGAAAATATATTAATATAAATATGAAAGTAGCACTGAAATTTGAAATCTTAGTTTTTGGGCAATAGTTTACATTAACTGATAACATTAGATTGACAATGCCATAAATCTTAAACCCAATTCCTACTGCTACTTTTATAGAATCAAATCAAAAATCAATTTTGCAATTGAGTACTCGCCTTATTCTATCCATAGGGAAAATAAAGCTTCAAGACTCCTAGCAGTCTTCAAATCATTTATGTGCAGCCCTTAGAGCTGCCTTTGGCCACAATCATCAAAGAAAAGCATTACTTTTTTTTGGCCATCCAGTGATGAAAATCCCATGTATACTGTAATTTACATTATGATAAAAATAGACACTCCCACACATCCCAAACGCAGTGGCAGATGGGTAAGAATGTCATGCCCCAGTTGGAATCTGATTCCAAGGGAGAAGTGGAACAACTGACAGGGAGTGGGAATGTAGCTCCGGTGGCTGTGGAGGAAACTGGGGAAGGGCACAGGCCAGCTGGGCATTCAGAGGAAGACCCAGCCCCCCCCCTTCTTCATCCTAGGCACGCAGGAACGGATAAGGGAGCAACGTGGTTTATGGGGGAGGAAAGGGCCCTGATCCCCTTCATGGACTGCAGCTGGAAAGACTGTTTAAAAGGGCATGTCAAAGTTGCTGAAAGCAAAGCGTGCATTATCTTTGTTGAGGCTTATATGGGTTTTGGCATCCTCCCAAATGGGTGCTGCATTATCTTTTGGAAGTCTGCAATTTATTATCCTGGCCTGTCATGTTAATTACATCAGTGTGGTTTGTGTTGGTTTTTTAATTTCTAATTATCTTCACTTTGGGTAAAGCCGTGGATAAATGGACATTGGGGGCCAAGTTGGAGGCATTAAAGGGAATTTATCTACTTTGGTGACTTTGTTATTTTTGTGCCATGCCCCGGGTCATCACAAAGAATAAATCTCTGCTTTTTAAAAACAGGAAAATTTCAACAATAATTTTCATGGATATTTGCAATACACGTGCAGTGTGTATGCAGTCTAAAAAGTGGATCAATATAACATACAAATAATAACAGAATGGTACTATTGTTATTCCTTCCAGGCCCAGGAACATAAAAGTAGTTTTATCCCTTACATATTATGAAGATCCTATGAAAAGTTATTCTTCACACATTGGTATATACTGTAAGTAGTCCTATGACCATTAGGTTCACAAATATTTGAAGTTACAATGGTACTGAAAAAAGTAACTTACAATTGGCCCTCACATTTACATCTGTCACAGCATCCCCATGGTCAAGTGATCACCATTTGCAATTATCCCAGGGCACTTCCAACAAACATAAGCTGATGAGGGAAGCCAGATTTGCTTAATGAGCATGACAAAAATGTCATAAAATTGGACACCACTTAATGACCACATTACTTAGCAATGGATGTTCCTGTCACAACTGTGGTCGCAAAACCAGGATTACCTATAAAAAATCTACAGCAGGAATATCCAACCTTGGCAACTTTACAACATGAACTGACTGAGGAATTCTGGGAGTTGAAGTCCACAAGTCATAAAGTTGCCCAAGGTTGGAGAACCCTGCTCTAGAGTATGAGAGCAAAACAAACTGATTATAATTTTTAATCCATTTTTTCTCAAATATTGATATGTTATATTGCATTTTATTATAGGATTGTGTTTCTTCATAGCTTTCAGAAAAATAAGTAATGCAAATTTAATGATTATTCCTTGAGGTTTAACTTACTAAATTTTGTGATCTTTTCCGCAATCTGTGCCATATAGTATGATAAAGCTGTAATGAAACAGAATCAGTCAATACATAAGTTTAATAAATCAGTATTACTACTTTGCAATTAAAATATGTTTCCATGTTGTGTATTATGGGCAAAATCTCATGAGAGGATCAAATAACCACATTTCATAATTTTCAGCTTTCTTATATAAAACCTCTCAAGATTTAAAGAGGGAAAATCCAATTGTATTTCTTAAGAATAAACATTAAATTCAATTATTCTGAGCACCAGGTGTGTGTGTGTGTGTGTGTGTATGTGTGTTTGATTAAAATTTAATGTTTCTCTGGAAAACATTTGTTTTCCTAAATATATCAAGCAGATGAAGCCTTTTGGGGTGAAAGTGATGTTACATTTTGTAAGTATACAGTACTGTAATTTGAAAAGTTTGGCTGAGTCTTTTCCACTAAACTCTAAGATGCTGGCTTTGTACTTAAAGTACAAAGTTATTTAAACTAAAAAGGAACAAGAGATGATATCCAATTTCCCACCATTTTTCTTTAATTCTCTTTATGGATTCTAAACTGTGGAGCAAGAACTGTTTAATGATTACCTTTCCTTATAATTCTTATATTAATTGTTGCCGATGGTTGTGCAGTATAAACCCCACAAGTAGCCTTCTCCTTTTTTGTTGGCCCTTAAACGCTTCAGTGTTGCACTGCCAAATTGTAAGTATATTATTTTTCATTCTTTTCAAAGAAATGACAAAAACTTTGCTAATTTTCCAAAACATTTAATACACTTTTAAAACTTTTTTTTATAAAGACCTCAAAATCCCCCGGGAGTTTTAAAAAAGGCAAAAGATTTTCTCCTGCCTCATGAGAAATATCAGTAAATTTAGGATGAAAAAAATGAAGGCTATTTACTGCATACCATCCTAAATCTATATTATCTTTCTTATCCTAAACAAAAATACCAGTAAATAAATTGCTAACCTTTAAATGATGAGGTACAGAGATACCTTGGAATCTTCTTCTTAATTCAGACTGGCTGCTTTGAAGATTATGGGCTGCTGTCACTTCATATTGATCACACAAGCTAGTTCTTGAAATATGAGGTCCTTCACTAATGTCTACAAAATCACCAAATCTGGTTGAAAACGAAACACAGAAAGCTTAATCACCCCCCAAATGTGTTAGTAATAGCTCGAAAACTGTTATCTATCTGTTATCTATCCAGTGGGGTGGTGATAAGCTCCTATTCACTGTATGTGTTGAAATGAAACTGAATAGATAATTGGAAGATGGATTAAATTTCTTAAGTGTGCCCTATTTGAATTTTTGCACAAATATGGCTTGGAAACATGGACTAAATTTCTGTTCTGACAAAACTCAAAGCTTCTGAAATGACTGCCTTTAAGGACCTATAATGAATTTCTCTCTGGCTGAAAACATAATGCAACATTAAACCTGTAACTTTTTATTTTTGCTACGTATTTTGCCATTTAGAAGTGCTAAAATAAAGTATTTTAATGACAGTTAATCAAAGTTTCTAAAGTATATTTTAGCTTTCAGGTGGTAGTAGACTTGTCGACTGAGATAACAGGCCAAACCCTACATTGAATTGCACGTGCCAATATAAGTAATATAGTAAAACATAGATAAATGGAATAAAAATATATTAAATGGAACATCAGCATTTAGATGCACACGTGAATTAAGATCTCCTTCACACTATATAATTTTCAAGTGGAGTCATCCAGTTCAAAGGATTGAGGCCTTATTTATCCCTTGTAAATATTTACCCTAATCACAAAAAATAATTCCACGAGTTCTGAAAGTGAATTTTCACTATAATTTCAATGAAAGATAAATTGCTGATAAATCATATATCCTGATGAGTCAGAAATGACTGGTCCTTTGACATTAACTTTAAAGGAAGAGAGAGAGTGCAAAGATATAACTTTCTTCTCACTGAAGTGTTAAAACATTGCTCAGATCCTTACCTTCTCATTTATTCTCCCCATTTCTGGTTCAATGTAAAGATCATAAAGATAAAGATTTCTAGCTATTTAAAAAAAGGCTGGCTTGGGCTTTGCTCACCTGTGCACTGTAACTACTCCTTTGGAATTTTGAGAAGCTCGTTCTTCAACCATATCCTGTTTGAACCTAAAACAAAAGAAACAGGTCCATAACTAAACTCCCTATTGTATGTAATGTAAAATAACAGTAAATTTAAGTAGAAGAGTATACACATTCCATTTCTTTTTTAAAAAATCATACGTCATTTTTCCTTCCTACATGCCAGTTCTAGTAACAGTGAGTTAAGGAATATTTTTTCTTTCTTTTCAAAAACTGAGAAAAATTCTTCCCTTTATACCCACCACTAGGCCTTTATTAACTATTGCCAGCATCGCTTCTAGTAGAGCTTTTCCTAAAACTTCAAAATCCTATTCTTATGTGGTTAATGTTGATGCATTTAAACCCACAGAAAACATATTCCATTTTATTCATTCTTGTTATTACTCTTCAAAGGGAAATGATGTGCATTATCTATTACAAAATAAAGAATATACAACATATGTTAAGCACAGCTGCAATATATGGCTATTTGTTTTAATAGGAGTTACACATTGTTCAGCTGAATTCCTTTTCATTATTAGTAGTATACTAATAAACATGAAAACCAAAAGTAAATTAATAAGGACCTGTTTATTTTTTTAATCACAAATTATAGATTTCGGGGTGAAGCACTGATTTCAGATTATATACATGAGTACAGAGACAGACATCTTTTCTGAATGACATTTTAATTCTGACATATAGATTGTTAATACTAACTTGTTATACTCAAATATTTCAAGCGCCACTTTAGCATCGACATCCAGCACTTCAAATGGCAAATCTTTCTGAATTAATCTGAAAGCATCTTTTGAAAGAGAACGGAGACTTTCCTTCAAAAATAAAGGAAAAATACTAAGATTATATAGACAGACATGATAAACAAGAAGGTTCAAATAATGTAAGTATTTTAAATTCTTCGTTTATTATTTAATGATTATTCTGGAGATTTTTCAAACTAGCTATTTAAGTTAGCTCTGTCTCTGCAAGAATATAATAAGCATAAAGGGAATATGTTTCATATTTACTACTGTGTTTCTCCAACAATACAGCCTCCACCAATAGGAACGCCCAGCATGATTTCTAGGCACGAGGTGAAATTAAGCCCCACCCCCAAAATTTAGGCCTATTTAAACCATGCGTTTCCCCGCCATTTCTCACATCGTTAGAACTACAAGAGGTGAAGAGAAATGGGGGGAAGGGCGGGGGGGGGGAGAAAACTTGCTTTTAGGAGTGCCCTGCAGGTAGCCTAGGCTAGAATACCCCGACCTACTACTGATAGAACATCAGCCAATAGAAGCTCCCTGAAGGCAGAGTCGCTGTTTCGATCGACTGGTAGAAGCGGTCAGCCACTTCGATCAACCAGCCGCTTCGATCGACCGGTCGAAGCGGCCTCGGGGCGAGCGCCCACGCACACTTCCCTCACCGCAAGGCCGCTTCTATCGGCTGACAAAAGCTCCCCGAAGGCAGAGTCCCCAGCTGCTTTGGGGCGAGGCGTGGCTGCCCGCGTCCCCTCACCATTAGGCAGTGTCTTTGGGGCAAATGAAGCTCCCCAAGGGCAGTCACCAGCCACTTCGATCGGCCGGTAGAAGCGGCCTCAGGGCGAGTGCCCATGCACACTCCCCTTGCCACGAGGCCGCTTCTACCGGCCGATTGCAGTGGCTGGTGACTGCCCTTGGGGAGCTTCCATCGCCCAAAAGACACTGCCTAATGGCATGGGGACGTGGGCAGCCAAGCCTCACCCCCAAGCAGCTGGGGACTCTGCCTTTGGGGAGCTTTCATCAGCTGATAGAAACGGCCTCGTGGAGAGGTATGTGCACATGGGCCGCTCTAGGTAGGGGAGGAAATTAAGTCGCCCCCGAAAAGACGGACTAGCCGTTTTTTCGGGGGTCAAAAAAAAAAATAAGGCCCGGCCTTATTTTGTGAGAAACACGGTATTTCTCCTTTCAACTAAGCTTTAAAAAAAACTCAATATTCTCCATTCTGCCCAGTAGTCTGGAAAATTATTTGGCTCAATCAATATTAACATATCCACATAGTGTTCCTTTTATTTCATCCCTAATGCAATACAGAAGGAAGTTTATGAATTAACAATTTTAGCAATTATAGCTTTACTATAAGAAATATTTGAGGAATAAAAGGGCAAGCTTGTGGCGCTATCCAAATCCAATTTATATATTTTAATACACTATTCTTTTTCAAAAGGTTTTCTAATCCAGGTGGCTGACCGTGCGACAAACCAGTAATATTGATAGTAGGTCATGTAGAAAAATGCAAGGAAGCACATTAATTTTAAGATTAGTCTTACGGTAAGACTAACCTGCTTCCTTGCATTTTCCTACATGACCTACCATCAATATTATTGGTTTGTCACACGGTCAGCCAGCTGAATTAGTTATTTTTGTCCGCCTCTCTAGTCCTTCCCAAGGACCGGGGATAGACAGATGTGGATGATATTATTATTATTATTATTATTATTATTATTATTATTATTATTATTATTATTAAATTAAACATATGTTGCCCATCTTGCCTGTGGTGGAGGAGGGTGGAGCAATGGCAGAAAGTTTTATAATAGAAATATGACCAGACTAAATCCAGAGCTGAAGAAGTTCCAGATTAGGTTTTATAACAATCTTATATGAATTAAGGTCTGAATCCAGAACAAAATCTAATATTGACTCTATCATCATAGGATGATAGATCAATCAATTTCTGGTCTAGTAATTCTATGTACATTGTTTTCAGATTAGTTTGTACAAAATATTTAAATATTTCCTCACAATATACTTATTTTGAATATATTTTATTAAAAAAAATACACATTTGAAACCCAAATAAGTATTAGAGGTTTGATCCAGCAGTCTAGGAAGTGCAGTTTACATCTACATTTATAAAAAAAAATGAGTTTCTCAAGTAGTTCAAAAATGTTTTATTACATAATAAGAGCAAACAAAACAGGGCACAAACATATAAAGTTTTGTATGGATACAAATGTATTGCAATTTTTACATTTAGCAATTATTCTTTTCATAGAATAGATATACTGAGTTGTCCATTAAACTAGTTTGATCTTACCTCAGCTGGCATCCATGCATCGAGTTTGCTATCCAAGATTACATCATAGCAAAACGCTCCAGATGTCACTGTATAGCAAGACAACTTTTTGAAATATTGGTATGAATAGATTTTTCAAAGTCAGGTGTTTAACAAATTCAATGAAAACCAGCATGTAATTACAGTATCAGTTTTCCCTCCCAGAAATGTGGATATATAATTAATTTTAAATCTATAATTAGGAATGTCTTAATTAAGACCAAACAAAATGTCAAACACAGGGTACAAGTTTTGGGGTTATTCAGAATTCTTCATTAGACAAGATAATATCAAAACAAATAAACCCAGGATGGTAAAGAAATGAAATCTAAATATGGCTACATAGTTAATTATTGAGTTCTACACATCCCACTTGTGTCGATGAAAATGATGACTTGTGTCCAAATATCAAAATAGATTTTTAGGACTTCCTCCAGCATTGACACTTGCTCTGGCAAAAACCTGAAGAAATATTTTGATCAATGACTGAATGTCTTTGGAACTTTTTTACAAAAAAAGTTCACCTAACACAATCTTAACTTCTCTTTTTATTCAAGGTGCAACTCTTTTTTTGGGAGGAGGGCAGGTTATAAACAACTTTTCTATATATGCCTACATAAGTACATTTCTTCTAGTTCAATGAGGTAAAACCTTTCATGTAAATAGAACAAATTGCAGCATTAATTTGAATATTAACAGTAATATTCAAATTATGTCTGCAATTCTGTTCTATTTAAACAGGAATTTTATCTGTTCTGCTATAGTATGCAATTGAGAATTGAACACAGATTAATGAATAATTTTAAGAAATATGCTTTCTCCAACATTATGTTGCTTAACATGGCAGTTTTGGATATGACCAATTCCAAATAAAGACCAACTGAAAAACCCATGTATACTATCTTCACAGAAAAAAGTAATTAAAGTATTTACCATCATAAGAACTTTAATATAATTAAGTGAACAAAAACAGTTGACAATATTCTAATGAAATTGGTAATTTAGTAAATTGTATATGATAATTTTCTTCAGCTTTCTAACCTTCCAGTGGGTTCAGACTATAATTCAAAATATTTTGCATACATTTCCAAATGCTATAATTCAAAATATTTTGCATACATTCCAAATGCTATAATGCCTACATTTTTGAAATGTGTAAATTACAAAGATTATTTTCTATGTTCATTGTAATACTCTTCCAGAGAATTGTGTTACCTGGTACTTCTGGAGCTTTAACAAGAGTAACTGAATATTCATCTTTAAATGCTTGTTCTAAAACACAGCCCAGAATCATAGCACAAGAGCGCCAATAAGCCTGCAATAGATTATTAATTCAAATTATATCAAGACAGTTCAATGTAAATTTCAAAAGCAATATTTAAAAGACTCAAGTCATCATTTAGGAAGTTTGACAACAAAAATTATTTAAAAAGTAGCCAGACATAAAAAATATTTGCCTTGTAGTCTGTTTCTGAATATCCTAAGGAATAAGAATGTCATTTATTTTTGAATCAAAAGTACTCCACTTGTATTATTTAAATCTGTAATTAATAGAAAGCCAGAAAGATGAAAGAAACTTTATATCCTTTATAACAGATATCTTAGTATACCATTCACTCAAATCTGGAAAAGAAAGAAACTTTAAAATGAATAATAAGAGAAACCGAATATCATTATATTCAAATCATTTTTAATCAACTTCTGTATAAGTTGTTGTTGGCTTGTGACCTCGATGATGCTGAATGAACTGTTATTGAATTTCTAGCTGCCACAGTAGTGCCACGGGAATCACAATTGTTTCAGAAATTAGCAATAATCTCATTCTTATGACAGTTGCAATATTCCAGTTTTTCTCATTAGGACCCCTGCTATGGAGTTAAAGATCTGGAAAATCTCACATTCTGTAGCATATGACAACTTGCAGCAATCACTATATCTGCCATTGGCCTCCTAAAACCATGTCAGGCTGCAAGATTTAACTTCTACTTGGTTGCACTCTCTTCCACAGCACCCTAAATCCTCCCATACTTGCCCATATTCCATAGCATCACTCACTACATCACTCAGTGACAGCAATTCCAGTCCCAAATAACAAAGTTAAGCAAAGACTACCTGTATTTACATTCAATTAAATTTATACCATGCATCCTTTTGTCCTTCAGTTTAAGAAAATCAATATAAAGCAAGAAATCCGGTATTGTCATACTTTGTTCACTTCTTCTGCATCTTCATCTTTGAAAGTAAGAAACTGAATTTCACAAGAATGAGTCAAAGGTCTATACATATCCCAGAGCTGCCCATCTACAAGGGCAAGCACAGATCTCTTAGTATACCATTCACTTAAATCTGGAAAAGACAAATAAAGTAAAATAAAAATTAAACTTCAAAAATTATTACTGTGCTAGAATCATATTTTATTAGTGAAACAACAGTGTAAAACAAGCACCTGTATAATATCTAAGTAAAAACTAATTGCTTTTAAGAGAGGGAGCAAGATTTCACCCATAGTTGTTTTTTTGAACCATCTGCTACTTCTTGTTTTTCTTTTTTTAATCCTACAATGAGACACTATCATAATCTTTTTTTGTTAACAGGAAGAAGCCAGAAATTTTTTTTTGCCTGTTTGGATCAAGTTATAATTTATTGCTAAATAGCATGATGACTTGGAGTATTTCTCTCCTTCCAATGATGCTTCATGGGGAATTAATAGGGATGGGTGAAACTGATTCAACAAAGCTGAGGATTCCAAATTGCTAGAGACTAGGTATCAAAGAAGAGAACAGAATCTGTAGAAACCAAGAAACGTATTAGGGAAGCAGAATGACTGGTGATCCCAAGTGAATACTTACTAGAGTAAGTTTAACCCCCAAGCATTGGGTATTTGTAGAAGCACAACTAACTGAACCATAGCCCTTCTTACATGAAGCATGTTTCAATTTTCTTAGTCAGCCTAACAACCATTTTAATTACTTACGCATAGCACAACTGTATGGAGTGGAAAGCCCTTTGTTCATTATAAATAAGGTGCCGGGATGTGATTTACCCACATGTTTTACTTCAATTTTCTCAATCCGTGGGTTAAGAGACAGTTGTCTTTCTTTCTCTTTTGTGAACAGATGATTGCGCCTTTGAGCAATTTCTGCTGTTGAAAGTTGAGGAGTAGATGCAGTGGAAATTAGCCCTGAGGGGGGTGGAAGAAATGTTTGTTAAAATATATTATTTTAATTGTCTAATATCATCTTTGCTAATACATTTATATGAAAGCAAGTTCTATGAATTTTGACTAAAATTAATGGAGGAAAAATATTCCTTATTGCTATTGACAAGCATATACTAATGTTTATGTCTAATATTAATATTTGAATATTAATGTTAATATTGTTATGTTGGTCTAATGTTACTATTCAGTTTAGCATTAGACCAACAATCAAGAAGCAAACAATACCCAATCAAGGAATTCCAAACAAGCTAACGGTAAATAGCCCAACCAAAGAACCACCAAGGCCATTCCCACTAACATTGCCAAGGCAAGTCACTAAAATACAAATTCAGACCAAATGTGTATTCTACTCCCTACCAGCAATGATGGTGCTACGTCTGCAAGAAAAGAACCAAAAGACCCCACATTTCAATTCTGAATTACAGATATTCTGTTCTATCGTTAAGCAGGACAAGCGGGGATTGCAATGTTTTTATCTAAGCAATGCAATACCAAGATATATCGGTTAACGGCAATATTATAATTCCCTAGCTGTATCCCTTGAGCCCAGCGTTTAAACCAGCCATCCCTCGGGTTCCTGCTTAGGCTTACTTTTGCCACAGTCCCGCCATAGTCCACGGGAAAACCAAACAGAAGCCATCCCCAGCTTCCTTTCGCTCGTCCTCCACCACCTACTTTGGGCGGTCCGACGCACTTCGCGTCCTCCGGAAACACCGATCGCGACAAAAGTTTTCCGCCTCTCGCGGTTCCTCTCCGGCTGCTTCGCTTCAGAGGTAGTCGAAGCTTTTTGGAATGGATGCTTTGTATGTGTGTGTGCCCCGCGATGAGAAAAGAACTTATTTTGGGGGCGCGGGGGGGGGGGGAGAAAGAGAGAGACTTATCTCCTAGCTTTAAAGCCTTCTTTTTTTAAGGCTGCCATATCGGTGCTATGAAGTCCACGCAGAGTAGACTCAAGTCAACTAGACTAGATGAGCGAGGGAAACGAGGCATAGACATCGAGGAATAAAGTTGTAATTTTTGCTTTGAGGCATAGCTATAAGGAGATTTGACAGGAGGCGGGCCGAAAACAGTTACCTTCCTATCTCTTTGAATTGTCTGATCTTGAACCAGAGACAGCCTTTCTTTTTGACATGAAGCTATAGCACTGCACTCCTGCAAGGTCTGGAGCCTGTAAAGTTTGCTTTGAAATCCTGGGTAGATTCTCGTTACTCGGGGATGCGAGAAGGCTGCCTTGCACTAGACTCTCCTATAAGGAATTAAGGATAAGATGGAAAACTGTGTACTGTACGTAAAACTAGCTCCAATTAAATTATGATAGTGATGATTCATATTCGTCTTCATTCCGAAACTGCAATTTGCGTTTATTTTAATTGGAGTTACTTCGAAGGGTTTTAGGATTGCAGTTTCGGAATGAAGAGGAATATGAATCTGGCTATCATAATTCTGGATAAATATAAATGAACGGGAAGGGTTCCAAAGGGGTAAGAACGGAGGTTGCTTTCAAAGATCCTTTGAAAGGATCTTTACTTTACGGATTCTCCACTCCTTTACTTTACGGATTCACCTAAACAAATTCTACCGTATTTGGAACTGCAAACTCAAAGATGACCACCAGATGGCAGCGATGGATTTCTCGTCTCTTCTTAAGACTCTGGTATCTGAAGGTTTGTAGTTAAAAATGTTAGCTTCCTTAGAATTCCGCTTCCCATATAAAAATAGAAGCACATACAGATTGTGACTGCTGCTGTTTTGAAGTTTAATTTTTGTTTCCCATATCCTGTTACCTTGTTTCTAGAATTCACAGCAAACATCTTGTCTGTACAAATTTTCTTTAAAACAAGCTTCTTATCCAAGGAAGATTCCAAGCATACACATACAGCAAGACAAAAACATTTGAATTTCATGGGGAAAAAATAATGTGGACAGAATGTGTCCACTCAGTGTAATCTCTACATGCCATTGTGTGTTTAATCTTGGGTAGAGATGTGTGAAACACTTTGATTTTTAAACTTTACTAACTGGAATGTTCCATTTCATATCTAAACTGTGCTGTGTTACTATTAAAGCATTCTCCACATTACCAAAACAGATCATTTTGCATTCAAACAACTCTTTCGCATACACAACATGGTGTTGTAAATTGAAAAATGGTTCAAACTTTAGATACTTTGCACATTCTTCTGTAAATCAAACAAAATTGGGAGAGCATTTGTGTGCCACATATTTAATATATTGCATAATTTGACTCCTTATTTTGCCACACTGTAAAAATAAGTTTTACATCATGGCTGTCTTGGATCGCATATAAAATATATAATATAGTAAATAGAAAACTTCCCTTTTTATTTATTTTTTTATTATCTTGTGGGTCCTCATTACTAGTGTCCTGGGCTGCGTGTAGTTAGACACACCTGCTTTATATGGATTTATTCTACTGGAGATCATTGTAATGCTCTCTAAAGTCACAAAGTCTGATAAATGGAACATCCAAATACAACACCTGAAAAAACTATTCATGTCCAAACAACCATAAATACAACTTTATTTCAATTTTCCTACTTAGTGTGGAAGCTTAGATTAATGCTGTAGATTAAAAAACAATGACATTTTAATCTGAGGGGTCAGGATTGTTGCCTGAAAAGTTATTTGTGGTAATTTTTGAAATTTCCTTGTTGGAGGTAGAACAATTTTCCATTTTTGGATTCCATGTGATTGTTTCTCTGACTGCAGAACTTAAATCACCATTGTGGCTCCTTAGGACAACAGTGAGCCTGCCAACTTCTACTTCCTTGACATTTACCAGATTTCCTGTTCCTTAATTGTGTTTTTATTATTTTTAAGATTGTTAATTATCAGATTGCAAAACAATGCTTATCCTGAAGTATACTATGTTACTGAGCAATGACTCCAGCACTCAGAAAGTCCCTAGAGGCCCTCTTAGCAAATTAAATGATGGGTCACTGTCACTCAATGCTTTTTGTTTCTGGATGGGAAAGGGATATGGGAGAGCTTATTATCACCTAAATTTATCCAGTGCAGAATGACAGCTATAGTTATAGACTTTACTCCACCATGCTGGCCCAGTGCAAGTTGAAAATAAAATGTTTTTTGACCTCACAGTCTAGGGCTGAAGGTGTCCCAATCCCTAAAATCTGAGTTGGAGATCAGAAAATTATGCAACAAACTAGCAACCATTAGATTTACACGCATAATTTCCCCTGCATCGGAGCTAATATATAATCTAATATATGCCTTCAAGCATAATATATGTTTGTGTCTTGATCGGTTACTATTGTACAATAAAGTACAAAATTTAGGTATATATCAAGATTCGTTTAAGAATACTTGTTTTATTTACGAAAATGGAACTTAAAATGAGACATTATTTAAATTTCACTTTCATCTTTATTTTGTTATTATAGTTGGTGGTAGAGGTAATGTCAGCTTGCAAATCTTGGCTGATCTCAAAAAGGTTAAGAAAAGTCAGACCTATATGGGATGATCAAGTAATCTCAGGATGTAGACTGGGAGATCAAAAGAATACTCGGGAGGAAGGCAATGACAAAGGGTTCTATATTGTCATCAAAAATAAAGAAAGAAATTCAGCAAATGTTGAGCTCTACTCAAGGAATTTTTTTATCGCTGAACAGTATACTTTTATTATATGTTTTAATAAATCATAATTGTAATTTTTAAGGAATCCATAATTTATATTTAAATTTGAGATTTTAGTTACTTTTGCATGCTTCTCTCTTACACACAGATACAGCCCAAGCAAATATCTTTATAGTTTTCTTACTGATTTTTAATCATTTGCAGATACACTAAACTGAGCATTGCATATCAATAAGGACTTACAGGCTTTGGCTACATCAGTTAGTCATGTGGATAGCAATTTAACTAACATAATAATAAAAGCAGCCAATGATGATATGGTGATGACCGCAGAAAAAAACCATGATTATATGTTTGGATGTCTGAATATCTTGCCAAAGCAATACTGTAACTCAGTGAGTTTGCATTGCTCTTTTTTACAAGAATATGTAATGTTTTACTACTTTATAGGCTCAAGACTAAGGATGTTGCTTAATTTTACCGCTTAGTATTATAGCACATTAGGTAACCTTGGGAATAAAATGTGTAAGGTGTTATTAGTATATATATTTATTTACAGTATATTTGTTCTTATCTTTTTTCCTGCATAAATAACTTGGTGAACATACCTAAAACTCCTTCCTCCTCTTTTTTCCATAACAAGACAAGAACCCTGTGAGATACATTGGGCTGGTATATACATAAAACACCCTTTAGAATCACTTCTAAGCAAAAACATTTAACATTGTAAATGAGGAGGCTCACTATATCAGCCCATGACACTACAGATGCCCAAAGGAAATTTGTGAAATGGATCCAGCCTGAATAAAACTGAAGTACTTTACCAGGCTGTGTCTAATACTAAGCCCTGTAGAACTCAAAATCACTACTGATGATACTCAACTGATAAATGTAAACAGCTTCAAATATTTGGGAAGCATCATCTTGAACAAGGTCCTTGGACAAGAAATTAACTCCAGAATCAGCAAGGTCATCCAATACTGGGTTGGCTGTGAACTAGAGTGCTCAATCAATATGACAATGGTATGTTCACAAAGCTAAAATGTTCACAAAGCTGAAATTATCCCCTCTGCTAATATGAATGTGAGTCCTGCTCTGCACTGAAGACACATCCAACAACTGGAGAAATTTCACATATGTGCTCTCCATTCCCTCCTTGATATTTGTTTGATAACATCCAAGTCTTGGAAAATGTGAAGTCCCCAGCATTAAATCACTTTTATGTTTATCAGAGCATAGATGAGGCAACTAGGACATCTCATTAGAATGTATGACTGCTGTATGCCTTGCCAATTGCTCTATGGCGGGGTGTTAAACTCACGTCGTCATGGCAGCATCACATGACATATTGGGACTTTTCCCCCTCACTAAACCAGGCAGGGGTGGGGCCAGCACGTGATACATCCAGCCTGGGGGCTGTGAGTTTGACACCCCTGTATACTGGATCCTGGAAAGAGACTTTGCAGTGAAGCACACAAGCACTATCAAGACACTGTAAAAGAAATCCTACACTTTGTGATATCCAGCTAGGGCAGGGGTGGGCAAACTACGGCCCGCGAGCCACATCCGGCCCATTGGTCTGTCCAATCCGGCCTGCCCCTGAAAAAAAATTGCTGGGCGTGGCGTATTGCCCTGTGCCGCGTGGCCCCCAAAGCTGCAAAACAGTGCAGAGCGCTCTCGGGGTAGGAAAGAAAAGAAGAACTTTGAGGCAAAGGCCTCGGATGGGAGTTCAAAATCACCTTTGAGTGCGACCTCTCCGAAGGTGAGTCCCTGCCGATCCCCCCTTTTTTTCCTGGGGCTTCCAGGCTTAAACTTTGCAAAGGCAAAGTTTGCAGGCGGGAGCGTCTTCCCGCCGAGGAGCGGGAAGGGTTCTTCCCGGCGGGCGGGCGGGAGGGCTGCTTGGAGCCACCTAAAGCTAGGCCGCTGCTGGTGGAGGCTTGCCCTGCCTTGGTGCCCCGTGGTGGAGGGGAAGCCCGGAGCACCGCCGGGTCGCCTCCTCCAAGCAGCCCGCCCACCCGCTGGGCTTCCCCTCTGCTGCGCAGCTCGGGGCCAGGCACGAGCGCCCGTGGGTTAAAAGGAAGCCAAAAGTTGCTGGGAAGTTGCTCGGGTT